CAGAAAATTAAACATTAGGGCCATCAATGGGGTTTTGCGTGTGTGGGTCTGTGTCGTGATGTCTGATGGTCAAGTTTGGGGGCAATAAGATGGGCACATTGTAGAAGTGATTTATATTTGTACAAAGCAAAATGAACAGGTTGCTAGTTAAAATGCGCAGACAAAACAGTTATGGAGGGTTACAAAAACCTTCCAGTACTATTCTGTATTGAATTGACGCCTATAGTTTCATGTGGGTAATAAGCAATAGGCGAGGCCTAATTTTAATGGATAGCAGAAACAACAGTAGTAAGAAAGATCAACATTACGGAGTTATTCGTTAGGGGCGACAAGAGTTTTAGCAAGGGTGAAGGGTTGTAACGTATTTAAGGGTAATTGGGGAACAATATTTAAAGGTTTGGAACATCAACAACATGAAGTAATCTGCCCTTAAATAAGTAGGAGTCACTCCATCATTCTGTTTTAAAAAAAGGGTGGGGAGCGAATGAGGCATCATTTTTGGTAATGAAATTGTCATTTATTGTACAAATTATGTCATCCAGATATAGAATACTTTGTGGTTGTTTAATGAATTTATATATTCTTGCATGCATACCAATATTGAAAATGAGTAAGGTATACGAATGCAGTGGAGGTGTGTGGCCAGTTGAAATACGAAAAATACAGGAAGGTTGGTATTGCAATCCAAATTATCAAAGAAAATGTATGAACGTAGGGGTACAATAAAACCCTTAGTGCATGTGTAGTTGTTCATGGTCGGGAGGGTGAAGGAGGGGTGAAGAAATTACTTGGTTGAAGATTTCAGGGGAGCTACGAGCGGCAGGCAAAGACTGAGCAGACAAGGTGGAAGGGCGAAGGGCACCGGTGAGTTAGGCAGTTTTTTTGGGATACGAATGGGCGGCACCTCTGTGTTGTGTATTGGTTCGGCATGCATCTGTGGTCTAGACAAAATTAAACACGGTACTTCCTAAAAGTAATATTAGCCTCGGTATCTTTGTAAGGGTGCAATATGTTGAATGTTATACTATTCAATAGAATAGTAAATAGTAATAGCAAATAGTAATAGTAAATAGTAATAATAAATAGTAATAGTAAATAGTAATAGCAAATAATAATAGTAAATAGTAATAGTAAATAGAAATTTATCTTGTTACAAATTTGGAATATTTAATTTTTAATTTTTTTTGTTAATAGAGATTAAGATATAGTTACGGTTAAATATGTGTATTAGTAAGTGCGATAAGTTGACCGTTGCAACTACAAAAGAACGGAGGAAGTAGATGGTTTCTGTTTTAGTTTAATAAAAAAATAAACATTTAAATAAGCACTAAGTATTTATTAACATGTTTGTAAACGAATTGGATCGAATAGGGAAAATGATACTATTATTTGTATGTCTCTATTTATTGAATAGTTGTATTTATATTTGTTTAAATTTGGAATTGTATTTTATATTCATATTTGTTTGGTTTGATAGATTTGAATAGATTTGTTTTTACCTCTAAGCGAATTTAAATTTTCGCATCTGTGAAAAGTTAAAGTTAGTTTGCGAGTCCAACTAAAATTATGATGTATAGTTTTTTTTAAAAATTTATTTTCATATTCCATTTTTTATATGGAACAAAAAATACATTAAGTATTTCAAGTTCAATATAAATACAAATAGAAACATGGAAAAATGTAAATGTAAATTAAATTTTTCCGAATTGGAAAAGCAAGAATGTGTAAAGGGAAATACGGAAAAAGTTTATATAAATTGAAAAGCATTAATATTGTCATTGTGTTGTATGTATTTATAAGAGGTACCATACAATGTATGAAAATAGATGAATACATATATGTTAATCTTTTTAAGTAATTTAGTGTGGTCACACATTTTGCAAGGCGGTCTAATTTACCAAAATTGAATAAATCAAAAGCGTATAAATGTAAAAGAAAAATATTTAAACCATTTAGGATACGCGCAGAAGTAAACATATAAAGTATACCGAACTGTTTATGTTTACTGGTTTTTTTCTTTGTAATTTTTGACACCGTACATGTGAAGTATTTGAAAATGCATTAGACTAAATGCATATGGCATGTGAGAATATACACATTGCTTGAAATAGAAATATATATAATCTGGCAAGGTTGTTTTTCAATTTATTTAAAATTATCAGGCAAATTTTTCATCAACTACATAAAAATGTAAATAACACAAACTAAGTGACACAGCAATTTAAACACAAATAACAAAATTAGCCAACCAACATGATACCACACGCCTCATAACTGTAACCATAAGGACGCACCTTTTCGTTTCTTGTGAGCGCATGAACTGACATGGTGGCTTTCTGTCCCCTCCTCTGTTTGCGCTGAGCTCCACAGTAAACAAAGCATCTCATCGGCATCCTTAGGGGAAAATAACTCATCGACGATTGTTATCCTGGTTCGCACAACAGGTAAGTTTTGGTCAATGTTCTTCTATTTCACTGGTTGTGCATGCTTTCTCTTTCAGTTCAGCGGCCATGCATTATGTAGCATTGGCCGTCGTTGTGGCCCAGTATAGCTAAAAGTTTTCTGTGGGTTTTCCTTTATCTTGTTTGACTTCTTGTTCTTTGGTAAATCATCTTTAATGAATAAGGTTTTGGTCTTTTATTAGTTTGCTTTACAGGTGTTTTAGTGGGTGGGGTTTTTTTGTTCATCATTTGGAGACTTATTTGTGTCTTTTTTTTAGTTTTATGGATTTGTTAAGCAATTGTGAGGTTCAGTGCGCCCAGGATGGACAGGGCAAAGAAACCTTGACATACTATGTCAACACGGTGCATGGGCGGAAAATTGTGGCTGCTGTAGTTACTAAGGTCAACGGAAGGGACTATGAATGTGTTACGAGTCAAGATTGGAAGGATTTTGTGCGAGCCACTGGCTACTTTAAGCTTCTGCTGTATGTTTACTTTATCTTGTTGTGTGTTGTTTATTTTGTCCATTGGTGTTTACGTGCGCATTATTGTTTTTTACTTGGCATCTGTGTTGACAGAAAATCCCGGTATGCATGCATCGCCATCTCTTTGAACATGCCAAGCGGTATGCGTGCCTTGTTTATGGCGGGCGAAGGTGGACAGTTAAAGTTGATGATTTCTGTTTTGCGAATGGGTTGGCTGCCTTTTTGGTTGAAAATAATGTCAACGTTGGGACATATATGTTGCTTCAACACATTGGTAATTTCACATTTGAAGTGTTGATGTTTGATGAGTTGGGGTTTTCTTTTAACTTTGCCGGACCCCCCAGTGGTTCATCCATCAAATCACCAAAACAAGGTGCATTTCTGGTGTTTTTAATTTGCTTTTTGTTTTATGTTGGTGGATGTAATGTTTACTGTTACCTGATATTGCTAGCATGTGTTTTTTTTATGGTTTTGGAGTATTGTTGGGAGAGTCAGTTGTTTGTGTTCATTGTTGGTGATTGCAGATGTTTTCCTGGTCTATGTTGAATCTTGTCTTCCAAAATGTTCCTACAGCCAGCTGTACAACCCTCCGTCTTTCCTGTATGCATGCAAACAGACTTCTAAGGTGTGTCTGCTTTACAATGTTTGGTTTTTTGAGTTTGTTGGTTTTCTGTTGGTTTGTTAGTTAATATTGTTTGAACACCCGCGACTACTTAAATGACAGATGCAACAACTAATAATAAATACCACTGCATGTATAATTGTTATAAAAAATGGAAAGTAACTGGCTGCACATGTTTTCGGTGTGTTTTTAAATTTTGTGCACTATGGAAGGTGGCAAAGTGGTGCAGTGGACCCATTCATTGTTTGTTTTGGGAATGCTGAAAATGTGTTCTTCCTTTGCGGTGCAGGAATGTTGTGAGGCGTTTTTAAGATCATGTGCTAATATGAATGGCCAGCTGGAAGTGTACTTTGGCAAGGATGATGCATATTTTTCCCCTGGGGAAGGGCCGGTGTTGCGTAAGGTTCAAACAACGTTTGCATTGAGGCGTTGTTACACCTTGGTGTTTATCAAGCGTGTCCCTGGGATGGCGCTGTTGATGGCCATTTCACCATGTGGAGTGGAAGAACCACCCAGGCGGGCCAAAAAATATGAAATCTCGACACTTGCATGCGCCAATACCACTGCCCCTTCCACATGATTGTTGTTCTGCGAGATTCTTGTTTCTTTGTTTAGTGGTTGCAGGTTGATGTAGGCTTTAAGAAACTGAATGGGGAACTTGTAATTTTGCAGTTCAATCTGGTTTTTAATTTCAAACTCTTTGCAATGTGTAATGTTTATTATCTATGTAGTTGTAAAGCTGAATTGTATGTTTCTTATCAAATGATGTTTTTAGTGCGTTCTAGGTTGGTTGGCGTAGAAAAAGGAATGGGGAGGCAATTCATTGCCCATTGGCTGTGAATGTATTTGTTTTGTTTTTTCCCTTTTGTTGGGTATTTTAAAGACATACCAAATCAAGAGAAGTAGTTTTGGTGAGTTTAGATGTAAACAAAAGAAATCACATGAATGGTGTATAAAATGTAAGTGTATAAACATGCAAGGAAGGGTTTTTTAAGAAATAGGTAAATGGGGGTTAGCAAAGTGCAGATCAGACAATAAATAAATGTTTTGTTTTGAAATAATTTTTTTTGTATGACTCTAAAATGTATTTAAAGTGTGTGAAAATAAAAAACAAAAACATAAAAAAATAGGGGAGAAAACTAATTTTGAGTAGGGGAAAGGGGGGAATTATTGAGTATATAGCGGTAAAAGTGAAAGTATATTAATGTTGTTTGTCAATTAAAGAATAATAAAGCGCATAACGTTCATTTTTTCCTTGACATATCAATTCTTTTTTATAAAATTTGGGTATAAGGCAGTTCAAAAGGTGGTATTGCATAGAATGAACAGGCCGGCAAGTCAAGCATTTCTAAGTTAAAGATCAGGTAGGGGGTGAAAAAGTACAGGCAAAGACTGGGGCAAGTTAAGCAGCTGAACCTAACAATACCATGACAGTGCATTAAATAAAACGGAATCTACAAGGACATAACATTCATAGAGCCAAAGACTGGGGTAAAACCGTTTGTCAAAAACAGCTAATATACAGCATAATCCCTTAAACCTGCAAAGTAGGAGCCAATAGCCCAGTTTGTGCAAAAACAAAGATGTACATGCATCATTTGGCAGCAAGTAATGTTAGTCAGAAACTCTTATTTTCTACCTATTATACAGACCATGAGTTTGAGCAAAACAGATGGGCTTACTAAAGTTTGATGTGTTGCCCGTGCACTAATTTACAAATATGTGCATACTATTGTAATAGCATTTTTTTCGATGTAGCAAACCATAGCATTTGTTGGGGTTCAAGTGTTGCCATCCTTAGTTCTTTTGCCACGCAGATTTCCCAGTGATTCTTCAGTCTCAGCCTCATGGTGTACCGGAAGAGTAGAAATAGCAGAGCATTCGGGAGGTAGGTCAGTAGGTGATTCGAAATCTAGTTTTCGTTTAGCTTGAGAAGAGGTTGCATAGGATGAGAGTGGTGGGGGACTGGTAATAGGAGGGGAGGCAGCCAGGGTGGGTAATTCTTGGGAGACAAAGACAACAGTGTGAGGGTTTGTTTGAATTCCTTCCTCATTGGGCTTTGAGTGTTTTATGCCAGCCACAATGTTCAGTGTTTGCAATTTTGCGTCAAAGTCTTCCAAGTTTGTGGCTACATTAGGGTCCATGCATGCATACTTAAAAAAGGCAAGTATGTCATTGGTGAAAAGTGTGACGGCAATGGAAGCGGTGCTATCAGTGAGGTAAGCATCAAGCCTGAATCTGAATATTATTTAAGATATTAGTAATAGAATGCAAGGAAACCATACTGTGTGGTGTTACTGTGGGAGTTACCGCTTCGTAGTTGTGCCGAGCTTTTGCCCACAGAACAGACATTGGAAAGTTATGCCTTCAGGACCGTAGACTCTGCGATTGCAGTAGTTACAACCAATGTAGAAGAACTCTTGGGAGGTATCAACCAAACTAAACTTTCCTAATACCCATACAACAATAACCTGGAAACAGAAATAATAAAGAAATAAATATTTGGAACATGCAGGAGGGAGGTGATGCGTGGGAGGGGGGGAGGGGGAGGGGGGGATTTATTTTTTAAATGACAGGTAATATGTAAATGTATATTGCCTACCTCAAGTAATCCAGTTTCTAAGCCTGAAAGGGTGCTTCGTGGTTGCGCAAGAGGCTTTGAAATGATTGAAAGTGCATCATTGTACGCTTTATCCTGCACCAATGTGGCAATCTTGATTGCATTCCCATCCACCCTGTTGTAATGGCACCATAAAATGAACTGTGCTGATAATTTTTTTTGTAATAGTAGGTCAAGAGGGAAACAAGGACCTTGTTTGCAAATAAGGATACTGTTTTTAAAATATGCGTGTACCATTTTTTTAATGACAGAGCACGAGCGCCGTCAGGGTTGAGTTCCATGTGGCAGTCATATCTAGTAGACAACGCTAGACCTGTAAAGTAATGAAGAAATTTACCAAGAGATGCACCATGCATACGATTAAAATGGAGTTAGGGAGGGGGTAACCTTGGAATAGGTTGATCGCAACCCTGTTGATGAGGACAAGGGGGTAACCACCCGAGTTCAGAAGCTTTTCGATTTCACCACCATGCTTGCTGACAAATTCCTCCCACATAGTAAATGGGAGAGGGATGCACCTGTTTAGGATGGTAGGTGAAAGGTAGGTGTGTTATTGGGTGGGTGATAATACCAGTAAGAACATGGGATGAGTTAGATGGGCTACATACTCTTCGTTTATAACAACAACATCCCAAGCAGTCCGCTGTTTCCCATCGGAAACAATAAAGGTGCGGGGTAATTTCTTTACAATTGCACCCAAGATATCTGTATTAGGCCATGTAAATGAAAGTTACTGTTCTGACAAAAGTAGCAGACGTAAGGAGAGGTATTGTAGAGGTACGTACTGATACGTGTGGCATGTTGATAACTGTCAAAGATATCGCGGAATGCTGCAGTTTCTGATTCAGCAATCTCACGAAAATCAACCCCTTCTGGTGCATCGACATCTTGTATCAGGGTTCGCCGATTGAATGACCATACATAAGGGTAGTTAACGTCAATGCAGTAGCGCATTTGAGTCACAGGTTTCACATAAGCGTTCGAGATGAGGTACGTGGAGTACACGGAAAGACGTTGATCAATCCCTTCTATATCACCCTGGAATGCAGTGGCCTGGACTTTGGTTCCCTGTATAGTTAAGAAAAACAAAAAAAATGTAAATACTGAACGGCTAATAATGAGTAGTAGATGGTGGGCCCAATAAAAACAAAAGTACACTCACAGTAGAGTCCTGCAATATCATCGGCATGAACTTCATTGGTGACGTCTTCGCTGTGCGTATGTTTTGTTTTTCAATCAAGGTGAGACGACAGGTCCATTGGTAGGTGTTGGGTTTTACATCGTTTACCAAGACTTCAACTGACATTGTTGTAAGTTCCTGTAGTCAAAAAAAATATGAATAATGTGGGGGAGGCTATCAATAATGTTAAAAGGGGTGGAAACGAAATACGATAGGATAAGAAGTGGAGTGGAAAATATAAACCTGATAGTAAACATGGAAGCTAATTAATAAAAGGTAAGATTTCATCATAAACAACATTGGTTGTTGTATCGCGGAGGGATGGTTGGGGATTGTCGGGGCAAATCACAATCTTTATGGATTCAACATTCCGAGCTCTGGACATAGCAACATACAGTTGACCGTGGGAAAAAACTGGTTCTTTCAAGTAGATGCCAACAAAATCAAGGGTCTGGCCTTGTGACTTGTTTATGGTCATTGCAAAGCACACTTTAATGGGGTATTGGATGCGCCTAAATGGAATTGGACAATTTTCTTCTTTTGATACTTCAAGGGGAATTTTGGGGATAAATACATGTTTTCCTTTGTGGTCACCAGAAGCAATGAAGCAACTTAGAATATGATCTCCAAATGAATCACAGATTAATCTAGTTCCGTTACATAGACCCTCACATGGGTTAAGATTGCGCAGCAACATTACAGGACAATTACGTTTCAGATTCAATTTATGAGGTGGCAGGCCAGAAGGTGATAATGTGTGAAGGTAATCTGCGCAGTGCATATTTTTTGAATCTATAGGGATATCATGACTGAGATAGATGTGATCTTCTCCTGGGAACTTACCCATCAAGGATGAATTGATGAAGTCGACTGTGATATTTTTTGTTGTGAGTATAGCTCGGTTCATCAAAGAGTAGGGATCTGTTTCAAATATGTGTAAGTTTGGGTATACGGCAGTGAAAAGTGTATCAAGCGAAGCAATTTCAGTGGTCCAAGGAAGCAGAAAGTGAGCTGGGATTTGTATCCTGTCTGCTGTGACAGTGGGTTCAGTTCTATTGCCAATGCGCATCAAGTAATTGCTAAATGCAGGATCTTCATGAGCACGCATATTAACAATGAGTCTGAGTCGGCAAACATGAGGCCATATTGTTTGTGATCTAAGTAGGCACGCATCCACAAAATCATGCCTTGTGCCTGATCAAACAACTGGTATTGTTTGGCGAAAATCACCACCAAATACCATAACACTACCTCCAAAGAGAGCATCTACACCCAAAATATCTCTCATTGTTGTATCCAAGCTTTCAATAACTTTGCGGTTCGCCATAGAGGCCTCATCCCACAAAATGAGTCTTGCTTCTTTAAGCAACCGAGCCTCTGATGACTGTTTTCCAATATTACAGACATATTTGGCCTCCCCGTCAAGAGGTAGTTTAAAACGCGAGTGGGCAGTCTGCCCACCAGGTAATATGGATGCAGCAATGCCTGAACTGGCCGTTGCAAGGGCAATCCATTTGTTTACTCTGGTGGCAGCTAGTAGACATCTATATAAGAAAGTCTTGCCGGTCCTGCCAGGGCCATCAACAAAGAATACATCACCCGTTTGTGACCACACGACAGACATTATAGTTTTAAAAGCTGAGCGTTGCAGATCATTCAGGAAGGATATGCCGTTGATATCCATATCACTTACAATTATGTTATGTTCTGCCAAAAGTTCACGTGTAATTCCCTCAGTCACAGGTATGGTGAGGTCAATGTCAGTTAGTTTAAAAGAATCAATGTCCTTGCCCATTTCAGCAAACAGATCGCGCAATAAATTTAGTGTAGTTAATTCGGCCTCCGCAGTATTCTGAAGTCTGCAAAAGTCTTCACATAAAGCACTTTTGTATTCCTCCCACAATATACGGGGATCAGGGACATCTAAGTAGCATAAATGCGTGGCAAATAATTTTCGCAGACTGGTTGGAAGTTGGAATAATGTAGCCTCATCAAGCGATGCTCGTATAACGAAGTCACCAGACAGTAGTCCCAGACGTTCAGCTGCAAGTCTGAATGTGGGAGCTTCAATCCTGTCAACAGTTTTTAAGGCTGAAAAGGAAACAGGCGAACGAACGTTGGCTAGTAACAGACGAAGATAATAACGTTCTCCTTCAGTAGGATTGACAGAAACAAGTCTGCCAAGGACTTCCTGTCTTTTTCGTTGGGTCCAGTGCCTTTGCTGTGAAGACCATACAAAATAATGGGAGAATTCAATGTAAAGTAGATTCAAATTTTTTGCAACTTCATCAGAATGATTCATAGTAAAGAATTCTGTTAGCATTGTGCGTAGTGAATCAGCAGACTGGGTGATGTAGGTGATGCGTTGGTTACCATAGAAGGTGAGGTATTGGGAATTTTCCAAATGAACTTGCAACTGTAGGACATCAGGTTTTATTTCTGAGATTGGAAAACCGAATATCCGCCATGCAGCCTCAGGAGCAGAAACCCAGCGTGCTTTTTGGAAATCACTGATTTCATCAATGACTTCACCGGTTGCTGTACCACTTAATGACATACTAATTCGATCGTGACCCTTATACACATATTTATATATATATTTGACTGACTTTACGCTCGCACAAGCTTCAACATTTATGTGACAGTCATATTTGCGCAACAAGTGAGGGTTGTAAGGTACAGCCCAACGGTTGTCCAGCCAATGCTTTCTCACCTGAACAGTAACTCCCGATTCCCTTCTCCTGTAAGTAGGAAAATAATTTTCATCGAAAAGCGTATTAGGCGTAAAAATGCGGAGGAAGTTGCTTCTGCATGAAGGTGAGGCAGACCCATGTGATACAACCATGCAAGGGCATTTCAAGTTCATGGAACCACATGGTCCATGTATCATATGCTTTTTCACAAGCTCATACAATACTGGGTTTTCACGGGGGTCAGAAAGTTCAGCGGTGATGAGACTATCACACTGAGAAGGTGTACAAATCTTAAAGTCTCGAGCTAGAATGAGTAGGAAATGGGCATGAGGTAGGCCTCTTTTTTGGAACTCAATGACATACGTGTGTGCAACGACCTTCCCAAACAATGCTTTTGTCAAGATGTCCTTTTTAAAGTCTTCTAAGCGTGCACGGAACACGCGGGCAACAAGTTCTGGTCAGTTTTGGGCTTCATCAAGAAAAGAAAGGTGTTCCTTGATTTCGGGCCAATTTGGGTTACACGTGATTGTAATGAACAAGTCTGGTTTACCATAATGTTGAACAAGGGTCATTGCATCCATGTATCGCCCACGCATATCACGTGGGCCCCCAATAAATGACCCTGGTAACATAACACGCTTTCCAACATCACTGGTATTATCCAAACCAGCACCAACACTGTCAACCAACCCTTGATATGTCGCGGACCAAAATTCATGTTGTTTGCTGCGATAGTAGTCCAACCTCTGTGTCTCAATTTTAATGTACAAGTCCACAATATATTGCTGTAAAAGGCGGCCAGAATGCAGGATAAAAGATGAAGATTCATGACGCATTTGTAACTTGTACGCATAATATTGGCGACATGACACTGATTGTTTCTTCTTGCCCTCAGTGTGTACATGGTCCTCATTTGCAATGATGGTGGCGTCCGAATCAAGCACTGTGGTCCCTATTGTGAACAATGCCACATGTTGGGAACCGGGGGGCAGAGACAGGTTGACCTTTAGGAATCCCCTCGTGCCAACAAACTTCTCCAAGTGGAAAAAGCAGATGGTATTGTAATGGATCATAACAACCATAATAGTAATGAATGTTTTGACATCTGCCACTATGTGCGTACACGCGAATGCTTCTTTTTGAAGCAATATTTTCATCCCCATCCTCGACCCATACAGCGGCAACCTGAGATGCAGTGGGACGGTTATAAATACGTTGATCTAGTCTCGGATTTCCATTTAGAACTATGGAAAATTCAGCACCCTGATCAACTTCAGTGAGTCTTTTAAAAAATTGCGCATACGGGTTAGCAGACATTACTGCCATCAGCTGTGCAACCACATCCTTTTCCAACCGTTCCGTGGAGGATAATCTATTGTTAAGGGCTTCATCTGTGTCGTAGAAATAGAGCTGTAAACTCCGAGGTGGGCAACCAGTAGGTAATAAGTCATCAATGAAATGATATATTTGCCCCTGAACCCTGAATGTGTATATTCCTTGATTACGTCTACAAAGGTTTTTGTCAAAATTGTATATTCCTATAGAAGTGAATGCAAATGTGTTGTTATATGTGCGCACACACGAACGGAAGTGTTTAGCCATCTGATCTTGGGAAGTATATAAAGTTCGAAGTTGTTCTGGCATCTCAGTTGAGGTAAGAACGACATCCCCCTTACTGCAGCACATGCCTGGAGGTTCATATTGAATCCGTTCAGCCCCGCACAAAGGGCAATCTGACACAGGCTGTAGGCGGTATGGTTCAATATGAATAGCAGGTAAATATCTTGGATTGTTAGGGGCAAGTGGTAAAATTTCAGTGCCTACGCTTCAGTTTTTTTGTTGACATACATTACGGAGGTAGATTGTGTTTGTGATTTTATGTGGTGAGATGACAGGTTTTACGATAACCAAGTACAATTACAAGAGCATCAGTGTCAGTCCATATATGTGGGGTAATGAAGTGGTAAACATGGCAAGGGGTAATATGGTAAAGATATGGTTTTGCCGAAGATTTTGATGTGTTACCAATTTAGAATCAAGTAACAGCCAGGATGAGCACGACAGAAGGAAGAGGTACATAATGGGGAAAAATATATAGGTTAGCCAGGGCAAAAAAGGGAGTGGTCGAAAATATATCTTAAGTAACACACAGCTATGAAAACACACCTTTGGATTCGATGCCATGGCACGCTTGTGTAATACGAGATACTAAAGTGGGACTACAGTTACGATGGTCTACAGTACTACGTTCGTAGGCCAGTCTGCGACGTTTATTTCGCCGTTCATGTTGCTCAGCTGGAGACACTATGGAACCAAACCCCGCGCGACGAGGCATTGGTGTAACTGGTAGTATCCAGTGGAATAAACATATAATTAAAAAAAATGAAGCCCGAAACATAATTCACAATGTCTTTGATCAAACACATGCGCCATGGCTATATAAATTCAATGGGGAAAGGGAAATAATTTACACAAAACGAGTTACGACACATAAAAAAATAAAAACCATATAGGTTAAAACAGACTTATGGGAAAAGTGAAGAACTTACAAGAGTCACCAAAGTAGCAGATGAAGTAGTGAGAAGTAGTGCACAACAACCTGTAATGACCAAAACAATACAACATACGCACGGGGAAATCACTGGTGAGGAAAAGGTATAAAACGAGTGGGTAACTATGGAACTGTATAAACCAACATTACCAAACAACAAATGTTAAATGTAAAAAAGATCGTTTCAAAATGGCGGAAGGAAGATAAACAATTTAATATACCAATAATTGGAAAGAAACGCAAGCTGAGGTCCAAATGAGACAAATTAAACAGAAACAAATAAAACCGAGAGTGTGTAAAAAGGGAAGAAGATTCTAAAAACAAAAAACATAAAGGCACCAGCTTCCATAAAGGCATATTTGACAAAAAAAAAACATACATAAAGGCAGATTTAAGATTCAGATGAGAGCCCTAGTAGTTATGGTTATTTTAAGATTCAGCAGTAGGATCAGTCCCCTATTTGTCCCTATGTGTCCAAAAGAACAGATTCAAAAAGATGATGCCACCACCTTCCATATTCACATCCAAACAAAAGTGCATAGGAGCAAAATGACAATAAAAACCACCCAAAAAAACAATATCAATAAAAGCCATAGGTGTACATTTTTAAAAAAGAAGATTTCTTGGGGAAAAATACAAAATCGATATCTGGATAGTAAAGAGAAAGACAAATGCAGGGCAGATAAGGATCCTCTGCAAAACTGATGCAACCCCAAAACAACAGTGAATACAAAACAAAACACAGCAAAAGGTAAACAGGAGAGTACCGAAAGAGCCAAAAGGGGAAAACGGAAGAAAACATACAATTCAAGAGGTTTGGTAATAGGCGCAGAAATATGCAGGAGAAGAACCGTAGGTGAGAGAACTAAATTGGCGGACTGCAAAACCAAGAGGATCAAACTTGCAGATAACCAATAGCGATAACAACTGCGTGTAAAAAACCAGCTGCGTGCGACGCAAATAAGAATGGTGTCAGCGGGTATTCCAGCGCGAATAAGCAAACGGGCGATATTTTGACGAGGTTGATACTCCGTCAGCGAAAACCGTGAATACTGTAGTGACGGAAGAGGACGAAAGTAACTCTCTTGCGCCTTTTATATAGTAGAGAGATGTAGAAGTGTAGAACCCCTGAGATTGTTCTACATGATAAGAGTGTGGAATAATGGGTTGAAAGGTGGTTCTAAGTCCAAGAACGGATTTAGAAGTCAAAACGACCGGTTCACCGGAAAATAACCTTTTATAGGTTATTTGTATTGATTAAGGTTTTATGATATTAAAACCTTGTTAGACACTTGTAAAGGGTATTTCAAGTGATTTCACAAAGTTGGAAAAGTCGCCGGAATTGTCGCCGGAGTTGACCAAAAGTCGCCGGAGTTTCACCGGAGTTCAACCAAGAAGGGTAGAACTTCATAACGCTAGTTCAAGGTGAGTGGATAGCTTAATATCTTATAACTTTTGGGTTAATTATGAGATTACCTAAATAAATGTTATATGAGTTCATAATGATGTTTAAAAGATATTTAAACATGTGATTAGCCAATAGGGTTAAGTTTGTATGAAAGAAATAAATTGTTTATGCATGGAATGTGATATGAAGAATTATATAAATGCATATTTGTTGAAGTGTATTAGAAGCACAAATGAATATTATTAACTTAATTATATGATGATTAAGTTGATACACACAAGGCATGAAATGGCGGTCAACGAAAACGTTGACCGATGGACAATGGATTTAATTAATACCGGTTGGTATTAATTAATTATAAATCTATATAAATGCATGGTTTTGCATGGATTGTGATACATAAGCTTTATGTATTGAATTAGTTATGAATGACTAAGCATGATATAGACTCTATCTAGGTTGATAGGAGGTTGATCATAGGAAAATATTTTGGTGGAGGACCCTAGGACTTAAAAGTCCTTAACACTCATATTTTGGTGGAGGACCCTAGGACTTAAAAGTCCTTAACACTCATATTTTGGTGGAGGACCCTAGGACTTAAAGTCCTTAACACTCGGATTATAAATTGGTGGTGGACCCTAGGACTTAAAGTCCTTAACACTCGGATTATAAATTGGTGGAGGACTCTAGGACTAAAAGTCCTTAACACTCAAATATAAATTGGTGGAGTACCCAGGGATTATGATCCTCAAAACTCATAGATTATGATATTGAAATAGGGACAAGGAGGAAAACTATACACTCATAGGTATATGGGTGGGTTGGGGTTTTTAGTCAAGAATATTGACTATTACTATATTCCCAAACAAAACGGTGATCTACAGATCAGATATTTTCCAAGTATATATATACTAATAAGTATTTCATAACTTGGGGAAAAGACTATTTATTTAAGTATCACCCTATGTTTGGGTCTTATACTTGAAACGCTAGTTATTCTATATTTAGCCTGCTACTCGCTCGGTACTTGTACTGACCTCTTCGGGGGGCCCCACCATTTTCAGGTTGAAGCCAGGGCTTGCTACCTGCACCTTCTTCGGGTGATATCAACTTCAGGAAGACGTGGTTCATGCTTCCTTATTTTCTTTCAAACTACCGAACACATGCTCATGGATATTTGAATTACTATAACCTATTTTTGGGGCTTGCATGCCCATGTTGTTGGCCGGTTGTGGCTTATGACTTACCGTTGAATATTTCCGCTATTCATTGGTTTAAATGTGATGTTGTTATGTATGTTTACTACTGAGTATGGATGGATTATTTTCTCGAACGCCTTGTGTAATTAAGTGAGGTTGACTCGCGGGTGACGTCACTTGATTATACGGCGGTTGTACATGCGCTTGGATTGTGGTCTGGGGCGTGACAATTAAGTGGTATCAGAGCCATCTCAGTTCTAAACTATATAATCAACCTCTCACAAAAGAGTTTACAAAAGAGTTTTTACCGAAAACCATGAGCATTGTATTTTGACGTTTATAGGACTATTGGTGCTTAAGTTGCATGGCCTCTAATTGTTAAGATGGTACCCTTAACAATTGGTATGGTGGTGACTTGGGCCAATACGTGTATGTAACGTTCTTCCGTCAATTGACATTTACAGGAGTCTAATGACTCATCCATATTTCTTTCAGAAATGGAGGGCAGGCGAATGGCAACCAGGAACAATTCGAGGGGGCGGGCACCGGTAGCATCCCAGAGGGGAAGCCGGGCTGCATCTCGGAGCTCACGAGGAGGCCATGGAGGCCGTGGAGGTCGTGGAGGGCATCAAGCTCAAACTGTGAGTGATGACCATGTAAGCTCGGTGTATGAAACCAACACCGAGGACTATGACTCAACCTACGTTCCTGAAACGGAGCATGAGGAGACCCTGTATGATGGGGGGGACACATACACCGATGATGACAATGAAGAGAGCGATGCCCGCTTCGCCCAAATGGGCGAATTACTAGAGTGGTATCAAAAGGAGAAACTGAGGAGAGACCTTAGGCGCCAAGCGAGGCGTGGCTCTCGTGGTGATTCGGGTCAAGGAAATAGGGGAGCTTCCGTGGCCACCCCAGCGGCGTCACAAGGTGGGCGTGAAGGAGGTTTTGTAGTGAGAATCTCCAAGTACCTCAAGGAGGCTAGGGCCTTGAGGTGTAGGTCCTTTGACGGCACCGACGACATTACCGTTGTCGCCGATTGGATCAAGAAGGTGAAAGATGCATCAAGAGACATGCAAATTACCCCGGACGTGAAGTTGACTGTCGCTTCACGGTTGCTTGAAGGAATTGCTTCTACGTGGTGGGAGAGCGTGGAAGGGAAATACCATGGGGAAATCTCATAGGCAGATTTTGAACTAGAGTTCTATGCTCAATATTACTCCGAGTAAGAGGTGAATGTGAAACGGAGGGAGTACACTAACCTCAAGCAGAAAGATGGCGGCTCAGTTAAGCAGCTGGAACAAGACTTTAGAACCTTGGCTAGGTTCTTGCCTGAGTACGCGGTTGATGAGAACCGCATGACGGAGCACTTTTGAGATGCCTTACTCTTAGACATCCGTGATCGGGCCACGTACTCGCGCCACATGACCTTTAGCGAGGTGGTGGAGCAGAGCCTTCTTGGGGAGGCCCAATGGAATGAGAGAAAAGAAAGGGACGCCGAAGAGGCGAAAAAGAGAAAATGGCATAGTTCGGGGCCGCCCGAGCAAACCCGAAAGAATAACCACGGTGGAGGTGGCGGTTCGTTCAAGGCACCGGCACCACTGGCAAAGAAGAACAAGGATGCCCGGTGGCACTCATCCTCCTCTCAAAGCACGGGGCCTCCCAACTACGCCAACTGTTCGAAGAACCACTTCGGGAAGTGCAACGCACCCCCGAGGTGTTACCAATGTGGGAACACGGGCCACATGAAGGCCAACTGCCCACAATTGAGAGGAGGAGCTCCGGGGACCGGAGGAGGGACCACGACGGGAAGAAACCATGCGGGACCGTCAAATGGCGGCACGGGGAGAGGCGGCGCATCCACTAGTCATGCCGCATCCGTCAACCAAGGTGGGACCCAAGCACGAGTGTACGCGATGACCGAGGCGGATGCGCGAGCAAACCCGGACTCCGTTGCAGGTAATACACTTATTTTCCTGTATTTCTAGGCTTATTTTGATCATAAAAGTCATTGGGATTGAGTACGGGCCACCCCGGGGTCAAACCCCGCGAATTCGGGGCAGAACGGGCTAAAAACAACTACGTGCGATCGTGCGTATCCACAGACGCATGACCGTGCATACGAGGCAGTAGCCTCCGGCCTTGTTTCGCACAGACGCACGACCGTGCGTGCCGGGACGCACGCCGTGCGTAGGACGCACGATCATGCGTGACTAGCTACGCACGATCGTGCGTAGCCGGCAGTGGCTGACTCCAGGTTTCGCACGCACGCACGGCCGTGCGTACCCCCTACGCACGCCGTGCGTGGACCCCCAACACCCGGAAATTTATTTTTTCGCCCCGTTCTTCTACGTTTGGACCCCCGTTTGATTTCAAACATTAGTATGAACCTAATAACCTCCTAAAGATGTGTAAAAACATTAGAAAATGTATCTTAC